GATTTGAGCTTAATCACCACGCTAGCTCCATGCGGGTTGGCGATTTCAAACTTATAATTAGAAATTATTATTCCAGGTTTCCTCACGATGTCTTCCTTCACCGTTTGTCATTGGTGTCTAAATAATCTTAGAAAGTACATATAACTCGGAAAAAGTCACAATGGTACTTGCCGTTGGTAGGTTACGACCCGACGCCTTCATACGTGAGATTCTCATTCCTTCTCATCATTTTATGACAATTATATTCTGTATATTACAGTCCCCAGTCCCCAATCACCAATCCCAATCCCAATCCCCAATCTCCAATCTCCAATCTCCAATCTCCAATCTCCAATCCCCAATCCCCATATACAATCAAATAAGAAAAAAATCCTTCTTTTTTTGAATTCGATTGAAAACTACATTTTCTTGCAAGAATAATGATAAGTTGATAACCAATCGATTTCTTAGAGGTATTTCGTGTAACAAGGCGAGTATTGGAATTTGACCCATTTTCTAAGTCTACCGTCATTGGTTTTAAGTTTCGGACCCGCACTCTCATGCATAAGACGCGGGCGTCTTAAGCTTCCGGGCTATCACGGTATTTTTTGATTAAAAATGTATGTTAAATACCCTTAATAGAGAATGTAGGAAATAACAACTTAATAACACATATCCGACATGGGGAAATTAGGACCTTGACATTAACACAATACATTATCTTTTTGTTTATGACGTCAAAACCGTTCATGGAAAGTACCTAAGACAAGGGTTTTCCTAAAAAAGGGTATAATTTTTAATAACATAAGAATGGATAATAAGAAATTAGTTTTCAATTAAGGCATTATAAATGCCCAAAATGCCTAAAAGAGGAAATGAATGAGTTGGTATTTTTTGTGCTGGATAATTCAAGTGTGTCATTCGAAATGCAACATTGTGTATTTTGTTTTTAATATGTTAAAATTATGATAAGCATAAACTTCTTTATTCTATATAGTCCAGTTGTAAGTAGTCGCACACACACACTTAACAGGGGAGTGTAGGTACAATTCCTAGATCAGGCAAAGGAAAATTGTTTTGTTTTGTATGTTATTTATGTTTGCGTATTTGGTGCATAATATTTTTCTTTTTTTCTAAATTTTTCGGTTTTAGTCAAAATTTCATGCATCATGGAGTCATGAATTAGGTATTTGTTACGCAGATATACATCTTTACACTTCGGGAACCCACCACACATGACGGCACTTAATGCCACTGAACAATGTAACACCCACTTTTCACTATTTATTTTATGAGTCCCATTTAATAAAGAGTGAGCCTATTGCCATATACCGGCCACATACCAGACTCCGTGCTATTACTGAGATTTTTCTTGAAAACCCCTGTAATTCTTTGCCCGACCCAGGAATCGAACCCGAGACCCCTTGCTCGGCAGTCATGCTAACGACTCGACTCGGCCAACGAGGCAGTCAACTTACTTATTTTTGAAAACGCAAAGTTTTATTGTCACGTCAAACCTTAATACATTTAAAATAATAACAAAATCATTTTGTCCAATAACTTAATGGTCCAATTAATAAAGAAATTAATAAAGAAATTAATAATATATAAAAATTAAAAAAAGGAAAGCCACCTAAAAACATCTAACTTAAGACGTCGAAAAAATTATCCTCATCGCAGTCGAGAAGAAGGGTGTCCAAAGCTAGCAATGTTTATTTACATCTATTTATAAATCACAATATAAATCATAAAAACAAACTCAAATAAATAGTACGTGACTTGAAATATCTGTACAAAAATAATTAAATATTTAATCAAATATTAGTAATTTACAATGAGTATTAATCAAATATTAGTCTTTCGTAAATACAACATTAGTCTCATTGTAATAGAGGTAGAATAACGATTCATTAGAGTATTGGTAACTTGGTTATCTTATAACCAAATTATCATTTAACCTATAGTCACGTTCACTCTATGAACACTCTTATTGAGAACAAATTAACGGAGCTACTAGCATTTTTCTTTATCATTTCTAGATACCTAAATAATTTCTTTAAAATGCCAGCATTTGTTGTAAAAAAGACTAATTGCGGGAGACGCCTACTGTTTCGGTCGGAAACTGGCGTATATGACAATAATACCTGGGTCTTTCATAGTGTGCCAGATTAACGAAGGACTGACAATACTGCTTTTTTTTAATGGGGCAAGCCCGCCACAACCTCCCCGAACCGATGTGCAACTCCTGTAAGCCAGGATCTATAGCAGATACAACCATGAAAACACCGGAACACTGAAGTCCGGCGCGTCCCAGGGACATGAATTGGTCTTGGTTCCCGGCAACGAAGTGAATCAGAAGATATTATAAGTGGACAAGGAAAAACCAATAGGTTCCACTTCCCTCAGTAAATTACTGCACGATGCAGAACATTCCTATCAAACATTAATTTCAATTATCTATAGCTACCTTTAACTAGTTTCTGCTATTAACTTGCCTCTCCCAGCGGCTTCGCCCGCGTTTCAGTGGGATGTTTTTTTTTAAGGGGGGAAAATCATCAAATGACTGCTCCCGCCTGGGTGAGGCGGGAGGGAGTGTCAGACTCTTACTGACTAAAAACCACCCCGTTCCTTCTCCTGCACGTCGAGTCGGAGCCCCGGTTACCGTTAGGTTCTCCGCGACTCCGAATTGGCATCGGCCGTATTGGGCCCCATCTGTGGTGGTCTGATGGCTCTTTGAGGCGCGCGCGGAACGCGACGCGCCGTACGCTCGGGTCTGTTTCTGGTCGGACGGGAAGCCACCCATGCTCGCCGTCCGCAGGCCCGCGCTTACGGTGGCCGGAGATCGTCCCGCGATCCCCGACGCCCGGTGTGTCCTTCGCGATGGCTGGGTTGCGAGGAGGCAGCGCTTCGCTGCCTCACGCGTCCCGCCTCCTCCTTAGCTAGCATGAGCGTTTCAGTGGGATAAAAGTAGCCAATGTCTTAGTTTAGTCCATATTCTCTGTTTCAAATTCGATATCGAACCATTCAGCCGTTCTGACGTGAAAGAATAACAAACACACAGGCACATCATCCTCATAAACTTGAGGTGATACGCCGGCTTGTTTGCTGGCCAATCCCATAAAAAGGCGTGTACGCAAAATGTCTTATCTTTTGCAAAATGTGTATCATTAATCTTTAGTAAGCAAATCTTATTGCGACTGCCTGATATTCCTTCGTTTTAGGGATACAAACAGTGCACATTTGTATTAAATATAAGTTAGTTGTGCCACATATTTTGAATAAAGTGACTCATAACTTCTCACTCCTATCTTATAGGTGGGAAATTACAATTATATGAGGCACAAATACCACAGTAACCCATACATTATATTCTTACTGAGAATATTTCATGTGTTTTCCTGTTTTATCTATCCGTATTTTCCGAGAATTTTTCTATATATGAACCATCTTGGTCTTAATTACCGAAGTCGGTCCAGCCGCTAGCCAATGTGTAGTAACATAACCAATAATTAGAAGATAGGGATAAAACTTTAATATTAAAAACAAATGAATTCGATTTATTACTTTGTTATGACTAAAGGACTTGTAAACACTAAAGTATAAAGGCACGAAGGTGCTAATTACCATTACTATACATACATACAAGGCCAGCCGGCATCGCACCTGTGACTCCTCTGGTGTTGCGGGTGTCCATGGGCGGCGCTGATCGCTTACCATCAGGTGATCCGTCTGCTTGTTTGCCTCCTATTACATAAAAATAGGTACCTACGTACTAAATCGACATCTTACTCGCAATAAGATAAAACTATTAAGATAAGTCGACATCCAGGATTAAACCCAGGTGATATTCAGTGATGCCAGAGGAGAATCAATTAGAAAATATTAGAAATCTACATTCAATCTGTCACTATCACCGCTCTAGCCCGTTAAGTTCTCCGCGGCTCCGTATCGGCATCAGCCCTGTCGCGGAGAACCTAACGGGTAACTGGGGCTCGACGTGCAGGAGAAGGAACGGGGTGGTTTTTAGTCAGTAAGAGTCTGACACTCCCTCCCGCTTCACCCAGGCGGGAGCAGTGATTCAATGATTTTCCCCCTTAAAAAAAAATCGGAATCAACCCTATGGGGCCCCATCCGTGGTGGTCTGATGGCTTATTGAGGCGCGCGCCGAACGCGATGCGGCGTACGCTCGGGTCTGATTCTTTCCTTATTTTGGAAATTCATTCAATGATTTTCGCCCCTTAAAAAAAAGAACAATTCTACTCTAGCCGGGTGTAATATCTGATTAGTAACTGCATATTATTATATGCCTATAAGCTATGTTCCCTGATAAATTCGAACCTTTTTAAAACTGTCTCGTCGGCCGAGTTATCGTGATGCGACTGCCGGGTAAGGAGTCTCGGGTTCAAAGCAAAGTATTACTGAGTTTTTTTTTAAATTCTCTGTGTCCAGCACGGAGTCTGTATTTGTGCCCGGTATATGGCAACAGGCTTACCTCCTATTACATGTGACTCGTAACATAAATAGTGAAAAGTGCGTGTTACATTGTACAGTGGCATTAAGTGCCGTAATGTTCGCCTCTGCCTACCGTTCAGAGGATAAAAGCGTGATGTTTTGTTATGTTACGCTTTTTAAATCTGTGATCTTCAATTCATCGAATATGGATGATTTTAGGAGCAAGGAGCTTATGTAAACGAGGCCTATAGTCCAGTAGTGGATGATCACGGAGTGATGTTAATCAATCCTTGTTGTTAATTAACCCTTGATAATCCATAGTATCCAGACTTAACAGTGAAGGGATAAAATCACCATAATCATCATTATAGAACCACCTCTAAACCTCTGACCTCTCAATCATTTGATTTGCACCAGAACCGTACGTATAATAAATGATTAAATCCATTAAAAAAAAACTGGTTTACATACGTCATCGTGAACACGGCGGCTACGCAGCGTTCGGTTGCGAAAATTTATATAAGCCTGTGACACACCGAAGATCTCTTTAGATACAAGTAAACTGCAGAACTGAGTGCATCGTGCATGCGTTTCAATTTTTAGAAAAGCGCGCGTAATTCAAATAATTACAATAATCCATTCTGAATAACCGATTTGGTCCTTCATAAATAACAAGTGCGAACGGGAATGTGACTGTTGTGTTATTCATAATCGTTTATTTATAGATACAACATTTTGAAATTTTATGAATTAATTTATATTATTTTGTTTTTTATTAGAACGTTCATTGGTTGTGTGACATTGAAAAGGAGCTGACGTTGGTTTACGACGTTCAAATCGCAGTGTATTATAAATATATTATATAAAAGAGTCAAAACAATTTATTGTGTATATTTTATTGGACATTCAAAATGAAGGATTTGGTGAAGATTTGGAACAATGTGACCGGGAGGAGATATTCGTCAGTGAACACTAGTGAATTAAATGATTTTAATAAACAAAGGCGATCGGAAATTGACAATTTTGAAGCGAATTTAGCTGAGTGTGAAATCTTGAATAACAAATTTAACGATGATTTGGAGTTCAACGACAAGAAAAATGCTATAATTAATCGACTTTTCGAGAGAAGAAAGAAGGGACAAATCGGGAGACAGCCGAAATGTAAGTACTTTGAATTTTTTATACTTATGTTTAGGTTTTTTTTATATATAATGCTAGGAGATTATACTATTATCGCAATGTTTTTAATAATATACACCTAGAAATGTAATTAACTGTATTTAATTACAAAAAGAATGCCGTAATTATTGTAAATACCATATAATTGCTCGAAAAGCCGTCCGTGTGAATAAAACTATTGTTAGTTTTTCGAAAAACTGTCGTTATTTTTTAATTTTTCTTTTGTTCTTTTTACTTTGAAAACGGTTGGCAACTGTAGAAAACTTTTTGCTCGACCCTTTCTTGCGCTTAGCGACTATTTTCTACAGACATCAGTTTTTAGGAGACAGATAAGAGCTTCTTAGATTAACCTATAGATGATCTATATATGATTTTTCGTGATTATCTCGTAATTAGCTGACCCGATATTTATGCGGTTTTTTTTTAAATTGTTACTATTTGGAACAGTTTATGTATAATATATAAACCGTTCAAAGACAGGAGGTTGAAGTCGTTCTTTTTATTTTTTTTTAACTTTTAAACAATTTATTGATTTAAATTAGCCTGTCGCAATTTTCGTATGTCTGTATAAGTAATGCTTGGAATAATTTTCTTCAAATTATATATAACATGCAAATGCATATTTACTTAGTTGCTTAATCAATGTTTCTTTTCGATTCTACCCTTGACCTGATTTTAATAAAATAGTGACTTTTGGACTGTTTAAATAAAAAGTTGTATAAGATTCATTTTTGAAAATTTTATCATCAAAATAATATGTGTGTGTGTGTATTGAATTTAATAAACTCTTTGACTTTAAATTTGATGATTTATTGTATTTTAAATAACGCGTAAATTCCATGTTGTAGCAATTTATAATTTTGTAAAGATTGATCGTAAGTAATCAATTATTTATGTTATCTTAAGCATTATTTTGTATAACATTGAAATTTATACTAATAGCACTTACAAACTAATAAATTTGAAGTGTATAATTAATTATATGAAAAAATCCATCACTTTATAAAAATTCCAATCAAAATATTTTTTCCGGCTTTTTGGGATTATTACCTATATATATATTAATGACGGACTAAATTGAGGAAAATTAGAGTGATTATAAACGGAAAATATTTTATACCTACAAATTATACGGTAGGTGTTCGATACACAAAGACGTTTTACTTTTTTTTTGAAATAAGGAAAAAATATAATATAAGTACGCGATCATAATAATATAATATAAATTGTTTTTTAAATACCGATAATATATCACACATGTTTTTCAAAACAAAACGAATACAAATATTCTCGTGAACTTTAAAAATGCATAAATTGATCGAAATGAATTAATTACTCTAATCCAGTCTAGAATTATAACTTTAATAATGTGGAATTTAAATAAAACTTAAAAGTCTCGTTTTTAAATAATAATACTAATACCTAAATGTATAATATTAATACATACCTACATTTTATACAATCATAATAATAATTATATACTTAATAATATATAATAATCTCATTTTATATAATAAAATAATGACAAAAAGTAACCTAAGAGGAGGGATTTTTTATTGTATTCCGGGAATAGGTATAAAAAAAATTAAGCACGTAAATAACACAAAAAGTAATTACAGCAAAAAAAAAATACTATATATCTTTGACTTCCTAAAATGAAATTAAAATTGATCAATCTAGAAATAGGACTAAAGTTCCATTAGTTATTTTAGGTACCATTTTTAATTTTTTGTTGACGCAGTTCAAAAGTACCTTTCTGGTCTGATTGAGTGAAATGATTTTGACTTTTACTTTGATTAACCTCTTATCGCTGGCATATGAAACACAATAGAAAATACAGCGTGTTTCTCGTAGGTATATCTACGACCATGCATAGTCGTTTCGGGTCGCTAGTAGATTAACCCATGTTAATCTACTTTATTCTAATACTAGCGACCCGCCCCGGCTTCGCACGGGTGCAATATGCATGTTAGTCTAAGATCCGGCTGCAGAATCAGTGTACCCATCGAGTGTTTGCTGAAAACCAAATTTTTACACATATTCATGATTAGGAGAATTTATATCCACCAGGTTGCCTATCAAAATGTGGCCGCTAGTATTTTTAATTAAATTATTAATAATTCATAATCCGTAAGAAATTTCATTGACTTTTTTTTTCAATGAAATGTCGTCTACTTTACGGCAACATCTATAAAGACTCTGAAAAATTATGGTTGCCGTTGCGCACCTGGCCGCACCTCTTCGCAGCCAGGTATACACAGGTATGAATTTGTTACATTTATACACCCACAACGTACATTTATAATTTATATATCAAATTAAAGCAAATTTTTTTCTGTATATTATTATATACGGTTGCTTAATTAAATCTGGCCGCCAATAAGGGTTGCTGGCTAATAAATATAGTAAATATTAAAAGTAGAGTGAAAGAGAGCTAGCGCGTAACACCACTAGTCAGACGAGGATAGCGATTGCCAGCTGTCGGACGGTTTAAAGCCATTGCGCATGCGTCAGATTTAACATTTTACGTGCCTTATGTATGAACTCCCAAAGTGCCAAAGTGTAAATGCCGCAAGATTTTTATTATTCAACAAAATGTACGCTTCAAAAGGAAGTAGTGAGAAATTTATGAGAAGAATTAAAGGTTTTGACTCAACGCACATTCCACCATGCTGGAAATCTTTAAAGGAAAAATTATTGCGAACCATCTTTGTTAATTCGATGTGGTTAAATGCTACTGAGCGGGATTGCATCAAGTTCAGCGCGGAAAATAATGGCTGGCTGCTGTTAGATGGTTTTTTAAAACCAACATGGTTCCTGGGAGATCCAACTCCAGCGCAAGTTGAGAATGTGCTGTGTGATTCCACGAACAAGCCTTCCGATAATAACGACGATACCGATATTTCTGATGAAAGTGATAGCTGCGATGATAGTGTGACTGAGAGCTCCGATGATTCAGATTTTTAAAAAAGAGTCATGGAAGTATAATACAAATATAATACATTTTAAAAATTTATAATTTGCTTAAACTGATGATTGATGAATATGTAAAATAAATGTAATACTTGAATAAAATTAAATCTTTTTTCATACAGTACTTGTACAACACAATTTTTTTACATAAGTAACCTTGATTTTATTTATCATCAATATTCATTTTTTTTGTAATTTTTAAATTTGTCATTGACTTTTTAATTTTTTATTTTAGAAAAGAAAGACGTTTCTTTTGGAGTATTTATTATTTTGAGTCGTACCTAGTGACTAGTGGTGTTACGCGCTAGCTCTCTTTCACTCTACTTTTAATATTTACTAAATTTATTAGCCAGCAACCCTTATTGGCGGCCAGATTTAATTAAGCAACCGTATATAATAATATACAGAAAAAAATTTGCTTTAATTTGATATATAAATTATAAATGTACGTTGTGGGTGTATAAATGTAACAAATTCATACCTGTGTATACCTGGCTGCGAAGAGGTGCGGCCAGGTGCGCAACGGCAACCATAATTTTTCAGAGTCTTTATAGATGTTGCCGTAAAGTAGACGACATTTCATTGAAAAAAAAAGTCAATGAAATTTCTTACGGATTATGAATTATTAATAATTTAATTAAAAATACTAGCGGCCACATTTTGATAGGCAACCTGGTGGATATAAATTCTCCTAATCATGAATATGTGTAAAAATTTGGTTTTCAGCAAACACTCGATTGGTACACTGATTCTGCAGCCGGATCTCGTACTATGTATTATACATACAAACCTTCCTTAAGAATCACTCTATCTATTAAAAAAAACTGCATCAAAATCCGTTGCGTAGTTTTAAAGATCTAAGCATACATACGGACATACAGCGAAAGCGACTTTGTTTTATACTATGTATTGATAATAAGTTCCAGTGATTCAGATGACTGCCTCGTTGGCCGGGTGGTCGCAAGTGCGACTGCCGGGCTAGGGGTCTTGGTATCGATTCCCGGTACGGGCAAAGTATTAATGGGTATTTAAAAAAACCTCAGTAGTAGCACGGAGATTGGCAATGTGGTATATGGCAACAGGCGAACCCTCTATTACATGGGACTCATAACATAAACAGTGAAAAGTGGGTGTTGCATTATACAGTGGCATTAAGTGGTGTAATGTGCACCTATAACCCCTTCGGGGATAAAAGGCGTGATGTTATGTATAATTAGTTCCAGTTTCCACATCCTTAATCGACTAGTCAGTAACAAATAAATTAGGTCACATTTATCTACCTTTGCAAAGAATAAAAAACATATCTTTGAAAACAGTCATAAATAAATAAATACATAAATATCGAGAAACAAAGAACGAATTAAGAAAATATTCCATCGAGGTTGTTTTCGTAAATCTTTCGATCATTCTAGACGATACCGAGTCGGATTTTTCGATACGTCATCATTCATATTTTTTGTACGATCATTAATATTTTGATACTAGCTTTAGAGAAACGCTTCCGACTTGTGAGTATTAATAAATTAGTAATCATATTTTAAACAGATAGGTACAATTATGATTAACAGGATTATGATTTGTAAATGTTGATTTAGTTATTTTTTACATAAAACTGCATAGTTGGCGCGGTGTCTGATTAATTGGCTGCCACGCAACGTTTCGCAGGTTCTATTCCCGCACGGAACAACTCTTTGTGTGATCCACAAATTGTTGTTTCGGGTCTGACTGTGATGTGTACGTCAACTTGTATGTTTGTAAACGCACCCACGACACAGGAGAAAATCCTACTGTGGAACAACGTCTATTAAAACAAAGAAACATTAATCTTACGGCGTAACAGAATATATATATATTTTTCAT